TAAAAATATATATAGTTTTAAAAAATATGCTTAAAACTTACAGTCTGCCTATATTTTTTTAAATGGCTGAAACCAACACAAATTTATTATCTTACAGTTCTGGAGGTCAGAAGTCCACTAGACTAAAATTGAAATGTCTTCAGGTAGACCTATTGAAGACATATTGGAACTCCCATGAGGCTAGTGGAATTTCCATTTCAAGAAGTAGAGTTAATAAAGGCAAACTTGAATTATCCTAATGGTTATTCAGCTTTTGCTTGGTAGCTTTCAAAGCAACTTGCCACTTAATAGAAATGGGGAGGGAAGGGAAAGACTAACAGATGGCAAACTTGCGACTTGCAACCTCTGCTTTTGCCCCCAGTGTCATCACATGGGCCACTATATCAGTCTTTAAAGCCTTGTCCCCAAGGCTTAACTCCCTGGGAATTCTATGGTCCTACTAATTAGAAGTTGACCATCTTTGTGTCTAAGCATCATATGAGCCTCTCTCTTTCTCTCTCTCTCTTTTTTTTTAAAGGAAATAGCATGATAGCCTCAGAGATCACCAATACACTAGCTAATATATTCATTGCTTAATCCTTCCTGAAGAGAGTAATAGTGGTAAGAAAATAAGATCTGTGAAAGAACCATGCTAAAATAACATAATTAGTCACCTTTTACTTACTGTAGAGGTTATTTTCTTAAAGGTTGTTGTCTCATATGTCCATTGAATACATAATATTTTTCTTTTTGCCACTAAAAACACTGATAAAAATATTTGAAATCCCAAATTTTCCATGTAGAGAGAATTATAAAAATATAAAAATATTTAATTTACATATTTATTTTCTTTCACAGATATTCCAGGCCAAAATTCTAGCTGGAAATGAAACCTTTAAAATGACATAATATTTTAATTTTAATATTAAGGGTACATTGGGAACATAGCATTTTTCTATTTTTACACAAAATTATAATGCATGAAGTATTGACACTTAAAAATAAACTTCAATTCTGGTGGCCACTTCTTCATACCAGGAGGTATCACATTTTTATAATACATTACAATGATTCCTTATAGAATTAAAGATCTAAAAGGAAGTTATCAGTTGCTCTACAAAAAATATATTGTGAACAGTTTCCACATTTGATATCTTTGAAAACTGAATCCATCTTGGATCTTGGCCATTTGTTACTGAAAGTGCAAGGAAAAATATTCGTGTATTTACATTTCATGGAATCCTAGAGTTGGGAGGGCCTTAGAGATGACCTAACCTAATTTTTTTTTATGGTTTGGATAAGGAAACTGATACCCAGAGAGGCGTACTGACCTCCTGAAGGTCACAAATTTACAGAACTGGGATTTCATTACAGACCTTTTTGACCTAGACCATGCATCTTGAAGTCAGTATTAATGTAAAACTAAGCTTCTAGGTCTCTGCTATGCCATGGAACCATTTCATTTAACATTTATATTCAAGTTAAGTTTAGGTTTCTCTCCCTTTGTTAGGGCATCATCTTTCTGTTTTGTTTTGCTAGTGTGCTAGTGAGTTTTTGAACTGAAAACCTTTTAGAATAATTAAAAAAAATGTCAGCAACTGTGTCTTTGTAGCTATTATTTGTATCTATTCTCTAGAAACGTGGACCATGACATCTAAGTTTATGTGAAGTAAAGTGTAATTAAATTGCACTTGTGAGCTGAGATCTGAGACAGTAATAGCTCTGCTAACTGAAGATCATTGATACACTATTTCCTAAAGCTAAATTCCCAGTGTACCTTCTGCCAGAAATGTTAAGATCCTGGATGTCACCTGGAAAGATATAGGAAATAGAAAGTATTTTTATATTTTCATACAAAATTATAATGCATGAGATATTGACACTCAAAAATAAACTTCAATTCTGATGACCACTTCTTAAGAAAAATGAACTTGAACTGAGAAATTAATCTAGAAATAAAATAAGCCCTGAGATGACCAAGGTAGGAGAGGGTATTGCTACCTTGAAATGAGAAACTAAAATGATTACTGTTCTTAAAAAATTGAAGCCTAATATGTGATTTAAATATAAAGCAATCATGAAGTGAGTGGATACTATTAAAAAAAGGGAGTTTGTTTATCAAATTCGGGAATGCTGTAATGACCCAGCATTGGATAAAGTTTATCACACATAAGTTTAGAAGAGATAAAAGGAAGCACTATCTCCTTTTATGTGGTCAATTTATGGAATGGCAGTATCCTAACTATCAGGTGAAAATGAAGAATTTAAAAAGTTCTAGATAAACTCATGGGTGTTTTATTCATATGAATTGAGAGGAAAAAAAAGATCTTGTTGAGGGACTTACCCTTAACTTGTTGTAGTTCCAGGAAAACAATCACTTGGTGTGGTGACGGACAATATTTGACTAACTAGACCAAGATCCTGACTCAGAGTGAAAACTATTATAAGCAAAAAACAATCTTTTTTATATATCTCCTTTCTTTTCTAATATTATGGAAACACAATCTTCAACTGTGTAAAGGTATATGGAAAATTATACTAATTGAAAGTTTAGAGTTCGTGGAGAAAACTATGCAAATGCCACGTAATAAAGGAAAAAACCAGTAAGAGAAGAATAAATGGAAGCCAGTAAAAGGTGAGACTCAGAAACCTAACAGGAACTTTGTACAAAATCAAGACTAAACAACCGTAAAACTGTGAATATATTAGCGCAGTGACACTCACAATATTGCAATAGTTTATAAATGGTAACATAGTGAAAAAGGAGGCCTTCGATTCCTTAGAAATCTAGCATTTAAATTGGTCATCAAAGTTGCATATCAAAAAATAAAAAGGATAAGGAAAAACAAGTGTCTATTTTGGAAAAGTCTGAATCACATCCCTTGACACCTGTTCATAGTCCCACAGAAAGAGCCAAATAGATAGAAAGGAAGCAGAATAAAAAGTTAATTCCAGGACTCAGTAGTTAGAACTTCTACAGATTAAAAAAAAAAATCTTTTTAAATTACACTTTGAAATTGATGCCTCACTGTACGTGTTAGAAAAATAAATGCATTTAAAGAGGTGTGAGACGGATATAGTTTGTGTGTGTGTGTGTGCATGCCTGAGTGTGGATTAGGAGATAAGTCAGTATGGGAGAAGGCCCAGGAATAGTGCTTTGAGACACCCAGCGCTAGACAAAGTTGTGAATTAAAGTTTGTTTATTTAGATTACTTTGAGAAAAGAGGCACAAAAGAGAAAGGATGATAGGGTCTTTCTTTCCTCTAAACTCTAACTTTTTCTCCCCCAACTCCTAACTCTCTCTCTCTCTCTCTCTCTCTCTCTCTCTCTCTCTCTCTCTCTCTCTCTCTCTCTCTCTCTCTCTCTCTTCCCTGCCCTCACTCCCTCTCCTACTCAAGGGATTTCCATGCTGTTCTAGGCCTTTTCTTCCCAGGAAAAGCATTCTATGACCTGGACCTATTTTTCCACCTTTCTCTATCTTATGTACAGTAATGGCAACTGTTTACCTTGCTAATGCCAAGACTGGTTTGATACCCAACCAACCTAATGCCTGAAACATGCCTAAATACTTCCTGCCAAAGAAAGTCCATTTTGAAATAATTTTTACTATATATATATATACTAGCATATGATAATAATATTTAACTATAACAATTAATAAAAGCTAACATTTACTGAATGCCTACTATGTACCAAAGGATTAAAGCTCAGTATAAAATTTATTTTTGGGACAAAGGTGTGAATTTTGATAGTGAAACAGAGCTGATACTGTAATTGTGAATTTGTTGGACTGTTGTGTAATTAGCTGTGTTGTATAGTTTCCCATGGGGAGATAATGTAATTGTGGTGTTTGGCTGATCTTTTTTGTTTCCTGCCAGATAGGTTGCTGTTGGTCTTACTTTCCCTTTTGTTGTGTGTCATGGTACCTGCATTTGTGTAGTCTTAATTCTTTGGATCAGTGTGAATCTTCTTAAATGATGACATACTATTGATCGTGGTAGGTATAGTGGTATGAGGGCTAAGCAATGTGAGAATTTGTGTTGTTTTTAAAGAGAAAGTACTACTTTTTATATCTTGTTGCAAATTTTCAATTTCTACCATCAAATATATGTGTTTATATGTTTATGGTACTGTACAAATTAAGTGGTCTTCTAAGAACTTAAAATCTAAAGTATCTAAAGGGATTACTATGAATAAACTTTGGTCTTTTAAAAATTTACATATGTATTAAACAAATCCTAGATATTAGACAAATAGCAAAAATGGTTTAAAAGATAAATTTCTCTGTGAGTGCAACCAGGAAGAAAGAATATTTGCCATGGATTCAGAAAAACAAATTTTAGCATTTGTTTTAGGGGAAAAATTTGTTTTTGAGGAAAAAATTTTATGTTTTATTTGGTAGGAATAGGAACATGTAGGTAAGAGTCGATATGCAACAAAATTCTTGAAGAGTTCATCCAACATAAATATAAAGATGCTTATATGACTTACTTAAAATTCCTGACTTCTCGTTCAGGGATTTATTTCATTGATTTATAATAGTTTCCAAGTCCTTTCCCTACACTGTAGATTGAAAAGTATTGCCCTTTAGAGATCATTCAGTTACATTATTTTACTGTATTTTGGGGAGCATAATATATTAAGATATGGGCGTACAGAACTTTTTTTTTTGCTCTTGAGATTTATACGGGAGTGACTAGTCTATGGAATGGATCTGAAACAAAACGAATGGACTTGGATTTAATTAATTTGGGTAATTAAAAGTACACTGAATCTCATGAAATCTGGTACTTGGTTTTCCTAAACTGAATTACTCACTTTTTTTTTTTTTTCCTTTCTCTGTTTCCCACAGGAAACCAGTTTCCTCCAATTGCAGCACAAGACCTCCCTTCCGTTTTAAAGGCTGGCTATCTTGAGAAACGCAGAAAAGGTAAACTGTAAGATTCTAATGAAAACTCTAAATGTGGTTTTATCCTTAGATTGAAGTATGCTTACAGCATGCATGTGGAGCCAGTATTCTCTTTAGGTGATGGAAAAGTTTTAAGACTCTGAGACACGCTGGACGGCATTTTCCAAGCCACAGAATGCAGCTTTTAGCTCTAAATTATTGTTAGTGACAAAACATTGGGTCAGGTTTTTAGTTGTCAACCTTGGTTATTGGTAAATGATTCAGGAACTATTTCCTGCCTCTTCGAGGAAGGCTACAGGCCATGGCTGTATTGTCTAGAGATGAGACCCCTCACCGTTTTCCCACCCAACTGAGCAGCAGGTTATATACAAGGCCTACATCAGGTCTGCTGTGGTTCAGATCCAGCCTGGCATATTGTCTGCCATTTTCTGTTATTCATTCAGTGTTCCTCTCCATTGGCTGTGATAATTGGGAGTTGACTATATGGTCCCACTCTTTCAACACCAATATATAATGGAAATGAAATATGGAGGTGGTGTTAGGATACGGGAAATGAAAAGCAGAAAGCCTGTTCATTACCATTCTGCTTATCTCTCTGCTGGTCACTTTGGGCTGTTCTATTTATAATTCCATTCACTTTTCTTAGCTTTCTTAGCTGAGTTTAAAAGCTGAAAGAGATAATAGAAATAATGTAGGTCAACTCCTCCCCCCTCCGTTTTCTAGCAGATGAGCAAATGTGGCACAGATGAATCAGTTTTCGCGAGGCTGTCTAGTCAAACGCCCGTTTTGATGGTCCTGGTCAGGAGAGTTTCTTAGCTAGCCATGCAGTTGATCTTATAAACGTTAAAGGCTCCTCCTCTGCCTGGCTTTATTCCTTTAGGCTTTGTTCTTTATTTGTCTCTAGGAAAAGAAGATACACATTCATTAGCCCTAGAATTTGAGAGCTAAAAAAGAACCTGAGAAATCGTATTCACTAACTTCCCCTTTTAAGATAAGGAAATGGTGTTATATTTGCATATGTAATGTGTGTTATCTAAACTGTTCCTTTTCCGCCTTTGTTGTAGATCACAGCTTTCTGGGATTTGAGTGGCAAAAACGGTGGTGTGCTCTCAGTAAAACAGTATTCTACTACTATGGAAGTGATAAAGGTAATATTGGTGTTCAGTTATAATATATCAGCTGCTATTGCATGAGGGTTTGGATGGCCATTTTAACCCTCCTCCCTTTTTGGTACAAAGTAAACTGAAGACAGATGGAGAAAGAATAACTGGGAATTTTAATAAATATAGTCTAAGACTACTTTATAATTCTATTTCATTATTTGACAAACGCTCCACATTCCAGAATGCCCTAAAAGTTAACATGATTATGTTTTATTGAATTAGAAAAGAGAGTAAAATAACTGTCACCTGTGTGGCTTTTCAACCTTAGGACATATGTATCATCCAGGCTATTGTAGACTCTCTGGGGAAGTTAAGACCATTAGGATTGTGAGAGTTTTAAAGGGAGGAAAAGATATTTTTTTTTCTTCAAATATTTGAAAAGAAAAATTTAGATAAATGAAATGTGGAATACCGTTCTTAGCTTATTTCACAGATTTAAATAATAGCAGATACCTAGACAGAGGTTACTGTTTGAAGCACCTCAGCTGTCTAAGCACTTTAGCTATATTAACTTGTCTAAATACAGCTCTGTGTGGTAGGTACTATTATTGCTAGCCCTATTTACTTTACTGTTTGGAAAGCTGAGAACAGAGAGGTTAAGTAACTTGTTCGAAGTCACAGAGCTGGTAAATGGCAGATGTGGGGTTTGAACCTAGGCATAATGGTTAGAATCCATACTCTTAACCACTGTGGCCACTATATTAATTTAGAAACAAGAAGATACATTTTGTAATTTCATTCGCTAGTGAATAAATCTCTTAGTCATAGTCCCCCTAATTTTAAGTTTATTATTTAAACAAATAAAGTCATAAAATATTAAAATTTAAAGGCTATAAGCTTTCTTAGTTTTGCTTTTTTCTAGAAAAAGCAGATCAGAAGTTGGATATTATAAAGAAAGAGTCATATAAAAATAGCTAACATTCATTTCCAGAAAGGACGCTTAAGGACAAAAAAGGCATAAAAGTCCAATACCAATGAATATGAGCTTTCCCATAGAATTCTTATCAGTATTATTTGGAAATTTATGTTTCATTTGACATTATTTGCAGATTTTAAGGTTTTTTTCCTTGTTATAAAACTGGGCAGATATGCATATATTTCAGATAAATTTGAAGTACATACATTATGCTAGAAATTTTGGCTAATGATATTAACAAATTAAGAATTAGTTTAGTGGGTAGTTTGCATTCTGTCACCAGTTTACAATATGTTCCAATGTAATAATGGCATCAGTGAGGTGTAAACTATAAACAGCTGTCAACAGGCAGCCTTCTTCTGCTAAGGGTAAGTAGGTGATTTTGTCAGAAAATTTAGAGTCCAAGTTCAGTTATAATTATCATAAGTCATAAGTGTGTGTTACTATTATAGAAATATCATTTTGTACAGCATTGTGAATTGAGATCAAAATCTTACTTTTCTACGAAGAAATACCCTCTATTTCATATGTCCATGGGAGGGAGGTTTGAAATTCTTGTGACTTTGGTTCAGTTAGGCTTCTCATTTCTAGTTTTTTAAAGAATCATAAATACTAATGTCTTTTTCTTCCGCTCTCAGTTCTGACTCGTATATATACCAACTGTTAGGGCAAAGATGAGCAAGTTTTTCCAAAACCTAAGGAGTGTTTATATGTATTTCAAAGGCTAATACTCAATAAATAAATTCTAGGGGCTTTTTTTGAGGGGGTATTAATTAGTTAAGTTCCCATTTCTAGTACTATTTGGTGAGACGTTTTGGTAAGAACATTCTTTGTAATTTGTATTTATATTTGTATTTGTGAGCCATTTAGCCACCTCTACCACCACTGCTTTTTAATAATTACTACTCCAGCATTCCTTTTTTATGTGGATGTTTGAAGATCTGGTTTATATTTACTTAAACTCTTTCCTATCTGCTCTGAAGCCTTCTGTTTCCATGGAGATTTCAGATCTGTTTCTAGTGATTCTTTTCTCTGTGACTGCTTCCTTTGGAATTCTTGGCGAGTTCTCCCTTTAGGGACTTGGGGGTGGGGGGGGGTGGGAAAGTCTATCTTAAGAGAGTTTTAATTGCTTGTTTGGCACGATCCTAACTTCCTTCCTTTGTATCTTTTTCTTTCCAGGAAAATGTGTCACATGAAATTTTTATTTTCTTTTGTGAAATTGGATAGCTGATTTGTATAGTCTTGTTTACTGTATGTGTGAACCATTTACCTAAACTTTGGAAAGAGCTATTTAGATATATGAGAACTATAATCCTCCAACTAAGTAGGATTTAGATAAATGGATTCTAGAGGCACAGAAGGAGTTGATACCACTTACTAGGTTAAACTGTACTTTGTTACTGTTTGACAGATACATAGGTCATATTTTCTAACATACTGTGTGTGCCAAAAACCATTTTGACCCATCAAGATTGTAATGGCTTAAAAAGAGTAGTTCTAGCCTCTAGGGTAAATAATGCACTTACCTTTGTACCCATAAATATTGCCTGTATTTATTATTCATGGCTATTTGGGGCCTTTAAGTAATATATATATATATATATATATATATATATATA